ATTTTTAGTAGAGATGGGGTTTCAGCATGTTGGCCAGACTGGTATTAAACTCCTCACCTCAGGCAGTCTTCCTGGCTCAGCCTCCCAAAGTACTGGGATTACAGGTGTGAGCCCCACACACGGCCGAGTTCTTTCTTTTTGAGGAAGATTTTGGTGTGTATCGTCCTTCAGTTTTAGAGAATACCGTAAATATTTTGAGTGAGATCATTATTTGTGTAAGAGGAGGCAAAATTCTCATGGTAATTTTGTCTTAATTCTTTCTGTTTATATTCTTTTTTTAAAAAAATAAGGAGAATACCACCTCATTTATTACATGTAGCATTCTGGGGTGTGAGGTGAACTATACAAGGAAAAAATTTCCAGGAACTAATGTACTTTAAAATATCAACATTTTAAAGCATTTATAATAATAAAAGTTTAGTATGTAAACTTGGCTGCTTTTATGATTAACTTAAATTAACCAGGAGAGGAAAATAAATTATTTCAGTCATTTGTAAGTTAATTTTTACTAAAAATGTGTGTGTGTGTGTGTGTGTGTGTGTGTGTGTGTGTATGTGTGTATAGGTTGTAATTAGGGGGATATTAGTGGTTCTAAACCTGGATGAGAATTGGAAACATTTCTAATGCTTAACAGGCTTGAAGACACTATAACTCACTAGGTGGGAGGTGGTGCTTAGAAGTTTTCTTATTAAGGGATAGGCATGGTGGCAGTGGTTCAGACCACCTGTAATCTCAGCATTTCGGGAGGCCAAGGCAGGCGGATCACTTGAGGTCAGGAGTTTTGAGACCAGCCTGGCCAACATGGTGAAACCCTGTTTCTATTAAAAATATAAAAATTATCTGGGTATGGTGATGGGTGCCTGTAATCCCAGCTACTCGGAAGGCTGAGGCAGACGGAGGTTGCTGTGAGCCAAGATCAGTCCACTGTATTCCAGCCTGGGTGACAGAGCGAGACTCTGTCTCAAAAAATAAAATAAAAAAATAAGGCATTTAGGGAGATGGCTAACTCAACTTCAACTGTGGGCAAAAAAGATAACTAGAATGACTTAGCTGGCAAGTAGACCCACCAAAAATACTTAAGTTTGTGTTAGTGCATGTTGCTGTGTTGTTAGAGAGGTAATCTCATAGATATGGGCCACCCTCTCCTCCCGCCCCCCTTTTTTTTTTTTATTTTGGAATAATTCTAAGTTTGCTAAAAAGTTGAAGCCTCTTTCTTTTTGAAAGTTAAACATTTGGTCAGCACAGAGGACATGCAGAAATAGTACAGACATGCAAATATAGCATGATATATGATAAAAATGCACCATCAACATTAGTATTGGCCAGGGCTAAGGGAAATGTTAAGGGAATAGGGAGTTTTATGCTTAATGGAAACATTTTTTATTTGAATCTATGTTGAAAGTTTTGGGAGGCTCCATTGTTTTTTAATTGAAGGATGTGTATTCTAGTTCTAGTTGGTTGCTAGTGGATTCCATTTAACAATGAGAGTCTAGCTAAGGTGGACAAAGGACCATTTTTTCCCCCATAGGGTAGTTTCCTCATTGTTCTTATGGCTTCCAGTTTCTTCCCACTTCATTTAATAAATTTTTTAAGATTGCTATACCTAAAACACTGCTTTTACAAAATAACTTATCTATTATTTATAGTAAAAATAAATATCTATTATTTGTAGTATTGGCTTCTA